TCTCAGATTTCGGCCTCCAGAACCATGATCCCAATCAAACCTCAATTCTCTATAAATCACTCAGTCTCAGGCTTTCTGTTACAGAAGCAGAAACTGGACCGAACAGCACACACTCATCTTGGGAGGTCTTTCCACATATCTCTAACTGTGTGCATGTTCTCTCTTAAATCCTCACCATAAATCCACGGGGTGGGATTGTTAGCTCCATTTTACAGATGAAGGAGATTCAAAAACATTGCTCAGAGTATTCAGGGCTGAGCAGGATTTGGACACAGGCCTGGCAGAATTAGAGCCACTGCATGTGCTGCTGTGCTAAGGCTTGAACTAGGAATCTCTTTCTGGCATTGGCTCCTTCTTCAGTCTCCTCAAAGGGCGATGGACAAGGCAGAGGAGGGGAAGGAAGGAGCTGCTGGCTGGAGGCTCTCACTGGACAGACTCACATCCCTGCTGACCCCTTTCCCCTGGGCGGAATCCTAGAAGAGTCAATAAACTCCTCCCAGGGTATTCTGGACGGTCCAGAGGCACCCCAGACCCAGAAGGCAGTGTGGGTGCAGGACACTGCATGAACACTCGCTCCTCTGTTCCTGTCCTTCCCATTAGGCTGAGGCTGCTTGTACTCAGTTCTGGACCTTTCTGGATTTTGACTTTGAGTCAGCTGGATGGACATCTCTCCCAAATGTGGATGGCAAGTCACATTTGGGATGTTGGATGACAAGTGCTCCTCCGGCAGCCCTTGGGGTGACTTCCTAAGACACATGGTACCACTGAGTCTGGAGTCCAGTTACTTATGTGGGGAGGACGAAAGGACCACAGATGGAGCACTTTACAATCAGTATTTTGTCTTACTTGAGGGAACCAGTCTTTTCCTGGAGGAAGCATCATCCTCCCAGGACTCATTAGGCAAGGGGAGCTGGAGGACTGTCCCTCATCACATTTCTCCTTTGCTCCCATGGGTTCTGGGAACATGGGTCTTACTGGGATTAAAATGCACCTTGCTACAATCAAAAGCCACAGAGCTGAATTATATGAAGTGATAAGGACGAAACAAAGTGGAACAAAACGAAGACCGATCAAGAAGACGCTCAGCGAGCTCCAAGGTGATGTAATTAAACAGAAAACAGACTTAATAAACAAAATGATTGGTGAACTTATGGAAGACACTAATAAAAAGCTAGTTGAGATAAACTAAAGGATGCAATGCATAAAAGACCAGTTTATCCATGAATTAAGAGTCCATGAACAGGTAGCAAATAGAAAACCAGGAGATTTTAAAGAAGTTGAAAGTATGGACAGCAGAGGCGACCAGTGCAAGGACAGAGTATCAGAAATAGAAGACAGGACTGATGCAGGTGCCCATATCCTCAGAGGTACTTTCCAAGAGAATATGGAAAATGGGTCCAACAGCTGCTAGATAATGCCAAGAAGACTAAAGTTAATTAGAATTAGTGAAAAATCAGGAGACAGCACAAATGGCATAAAAAAGCCCTGGTTACAGAAATAATAGTAGAAAACTTTCCAAGAATAGGGAAGAAACTTAACATACAGGAAAACAAGGGATACAGAACCCAAACAGCCACACTCAGGAAAGGACTTCTCTATGACACATCATAGGCCAAATCCCAGAAGACCAACACAAGGCAAAATCCTAGAAGCTGCTAGAGAAAAACAATGAATCCCGTATAAAGTTAAGCCCATTAGAAATACAGCAGACTTCTCAACACTAACCTTGTGACAGGAGAGTGAAGCGTTTCAAACCCTACAAAAAAACAACTCCCAGCCCAGAATAAAACATCCCGTAAAGCTATCTTTGAAAATTGAGGAAGAAATAAGGCCTTTGCATGACAAAGAGCATCTTAAGAAATTCATGACCACCAAACCAGCACTACAAAAAATTCTCCAAGACATCCTAGAGAGACAACGAAGCAACAATACCAAAAAGCCCAATGGAATGACTACACCAGGTATGATAAACAGTTTAGCAGAAGGGGGAAAAAAGGAACCAGCAACAGGAGAATAATGCAATGACAGGAGTAGGTCAACCCGTTTCAGTAATAACTCTCAGTGTAAATAACCTCAACTCCCTAGTCATAACATAGATTGGTAGATAGGATTAAAACAACAATAACAAACAAACCAATGATATACTATATGAAAAAAACACATTTATCCCCAAAGAAATTCATAGATCAAAAAAATCAAACAATGAAAACAAATTTCACGAAGTAGAAACCCTAAAACCAGCAGGAGTAGCTCTTCTATTTTCAGACAAAGTGGACTTCAAGCCAAAACTGGTCAGAAGAGGCAAAAAAGGTCACTACATATTGGTTAAGGGAACCATTCAACAGGAAGAGATAACAGTTATAAAGAAATATGCATCAAACACTGGTGCCCTCAACTTCATAAAAGAAATATGGCTGGACATAAAAGATCAGATAAACATCAACATAATTAGACTAGAGGACCTCAGTATCACAAATTATCACAAATACACAGATCAACTGGACAAAAAAAAAATCAACAAAGAGAGCCAGGGGTTTAACTCAGTGGTTCTGCCGCTTGCCTCGAAAGCGCAAGGTCCCAAGTTCAATCCCTGATACTGGGGGGAAAAAATCAACAAGAAAATATCAGAATTGAACCACATCTTCAAACAGATAAACTGAATGGATATCTATAGAAATTTCCACCTGGCAACAGCATACACAGTCTTCTTAGGAGAACATAGAACTTCCTCCAAAATAGACCCATGCTTGCCCATAAAGCATGCTTAAGTAAACACAAAAGAATAAAAATTATCACATGCATATTATCAGATCATAGTGTAATGAAACTAGAAACCAATAGCAAAAGGAACCACAGAAATTATGCAAAAACATGAAGGTTAAACAATACATTCTTTTTTAGGTAAATTAAATTAAATTAATCTAAATCATTTATTGCAGTACCAGGGATCAGGGATCAAACTCTGGACCTTGCCCTTGCGAGGCAGGCCACTGAGCTAAATCCCTGGCCCCTAAATGATACATTCTTGAATAACCAATGAGTAACAAAGGAAGTCAAGGAAGAAACTAGTTCCTAGAATCAAACAACAATGCCAGTACAACATACCCGAACCTATGGGGCACAGTGAAAGCAGTCCCAAGAGGGAAGTTTATAGCCATGAATGCTCAAATGAGAAAAACAGAGTGATCCTAAATAAATTAACGGAGGGGCACACATAAATCCTAGAAAAACAAGAACGGTCCAAATTTAAAACAGATACAAGGAAGGGCTGGGGATTTAGCTCAGTGGCTCTGCTGCTTGCCTCGAAAGTGCAAGGTCCTGAGTTTGAGCCCTGGTAAGAAAACAAAAACAAAAAAAACAGATACAAGGAAGTAGATTATAGAGATTAAAGTATAAAATTGAAACTAAAAAAACATTACAAGAAATCAATGAATTAAAACAGTTCTAAAATAGACAAACCTTTAGCCAATTGTACCAAAAAAGAGGAAGAAAAGACCTATATCAATTGAATTAGAAATAGAAAAGGTTAAAAAAAGAAAAGGAAAAGGTGAAATCATAACGTACAATGCCAAAATCTAGAAAATTATTAGTAATTACTTCAATAAACATACTCCAATAAATTGGAAAATCCAGAAGAAAGGGACAGATTCCTAGATATATATGATTTATGAAAATTGAAACAAGAAGATATAAAACCCCTGAATTTTCCACTAATAGGCATAGAAATGAAGCAGTAGTTAAAACCCTAGAAATTAAGATTCACCACTGAATTCTGTCAGAATGTCAGGGAAAATCTAATGCCCATGCTCCTCAAACTCTATAATGAAATTAAAGCGCAGGAGGACTGCCAAACCCATTCCTGGAAATCAGCATTACCTTGATTCTAAAACCAGAAAAGGACTCAACTAAAAAGGAAAAGTACAGGCCAATCTTTTCAATGAACATACATGCAAAGATCTTCAACAAGATACCGGCAATCAGAATGCAACAAATCATCAAAAAGATCATACATCAGGACATCCCAGGAATTCGAAGATGGTTCAACATATGCAAATCAGCTAGTGTAGTACATCACATGACAGAAGCAAGGCCAAAAACCACATGAGCATCTCAACAGATGCAGAAAAAGCCTTTGACTAACCCCGACATCTGTTCATGAGAAAAGCCCCAAAGAAAGAAAGTAGATACAGCCGGACTTATCCCAACCTGGTAACCGGCACAGAAACAGATTCGTGGTTCAGTGGAACAGAGCAGAGGGTCCAGAAACAACCTCAGGAACATTCAGCCCTCTGATTTTTGACAAAGGGGCCAAAAATATATGCTGTAAGAAAGAAAGACATTTTAGCAAATGCTGCTGAGAAAACTGGCTCTCCACATACAGAAGATTGAACCTAGACCTGTATCTCTCACCATGTACTAAAATAAAATAAAAAGGGACCAAAGATTAAATATTAAAACAGAAACAATCTGTTGGAAGAGAAAATAGGTAAAACTGTTGAAGATATTAGCATAGGCAGAGA